TAAGCTGTTAACAAGTCAATAGGCCTAGCTAATGATTACGGTGAGAAATCTATACATACAGACTGAGAGCAAGTATAATGATAGTCACCATCCAGGTCCATCATTGAACATGCACTTTAGATGCTGAGACACATCGGATGGCGCTGTGCAATTTGCTCTTTCTAGATTCTCACTCATGGTCGTGGTCTTGCACAATCTGGTCTTCCAGAGATGGGAAGTCTTGGTAGAGGAGGATCAAGTGGAGAGAGCCACATCCTTTGAAACTGAGTCTGATGAAGCAGAGGGCGAGCCATACCAGTCATCTGCACACCCAGTGTGCACACCCAGTCATCTGCACACCAGGTTCTTATAATTAACGGGAAAATCACTGTTGCAATCAAACAGTTTTAAACAATGGCAAGAAAGAAACATGAATAACTAACTTATAACTCTATAACTTAAACTCTATCCCTTTTAGAAAATACAAATAAACAAGACAAGACACAAATAGGAAAGTAGGAAAGGAATGAAAATGTCACTGAAGCACAGTTCTGGCACCAGTCCAGATTACAGGCATTGACGAGATATTTTCCTTCAGTTCCCTTCTGATTCCTTTCAACTCTTTCTTGACATGACTTTGTGCACACATTGAGTCTCAATCTTTCATTCACTGAAGGTTTTTCCCCCCTTTTCCTTTCAAGAAGGGAGTTTTCTGAGAGAGAGAGAGAGCGACCAGCTGCTCGGAATTCTCTTTTACTTCTTCACTTGCAAAAGGGAGGGAGAGATGTGCTTTTTGATGTGCTTTTTCTTTCAGAGACTGAATGTTTCTGCTGCATTGTCCAAACTCAAAGCTGTAGCCATCCATCCAGGAATCAATCAAGAAGCTGTTACTATCCTGGCTCCAGAACACAGACAACTGGGCCAGGTCGAAAAATTAATCAAAAATCTGTCATTGGGAAAAACTGCTCTGAACACACACCAATAAAGCCAAGGTGTCTAACATCATACCGCACTGCTTGATGAGGCAACATTGTAGATACAACTCACAACAAGTTCAAGTAACTTTTGTTTTAGAAACTGCAACGTCTTCTTCCATAGACCCATGGTTTAAAACAGTAAGTTTTCCCATTTTGTACTCCATTGTCCATAAAAAGAAAGTGATTTTTACACCATTGGCTCTGTATTGTCTACTTATCAATAACGTCTTGGCTGCATTTATCTTTCCCTATATCTGACACGCATGACCTTTGCAGCTTCAGCTGGGGAAACAGGCAGGTGAGTGGGCTGCCAATATAGACATACTAAATTAGGCCAATCAGAAGAATGCACATGAATACCCTCCCTTGTACTGAAATCATGTTTTCAAATATATGGCCAGCATGTCATTTGTGCATGGGCAACAATTCTCAATGATCCTAGCACATTCACAGGTCTTTCAGTTCATAATTTTTTCTCCTACCACCCACCACCACCACACCCAATCAAAGAATCTCAAAGTGCGAGGAGGAGGATTTGCATTTCTGCTTTGTGTTGCCATGTTGCCTTGTACGCTTGCTAAGACAATAGGCATGTCCACAGTTGACACACAGTGCATCCTTGCACGTATACACATAAAGTGAAATTATGATACATCATATTTGGATAACCAGAAATTCTGGATGTGTGAAGTTTCTAGCTAAGCCCATTAGCAGAGTAGCATATCGAATAGAGCGATGCCAATGGCAAGGCAAAGTTCTGGACTGGCAAATCTGGATTAGCTGAACTCATCTAAGATAGTGCTGGCAGATTCTGAAGATGGGTCACTGGACTCAAAATGTAAGCTCTTACCTGTTACTACTTTTTAGAGTTCAAAGGATTTCACAATCCTCTGACTCTAAACTGTGTTCTAAAGACCACTAATTATGGTGCACTTCCTGCCAACTCATGGTTCACAGCATGTCCCATCTCACCCCCAACCTTTCCCATCCTAGAGGCCCAATTGGGCAAACTGGCCACACTTTCCCTTCCTAATTAGCTGACTTTCTGACAGGCACACATTAATTGATATTTGATATGTTTGATTTATTTACTGTCACTTGTATCTTACAAAATACAGTGAAAAGTATTGCATAGTATCACCTCTCCCCAGCATCATCTTAAAACACAGAAAAATAAACCAAAATGTAGAAAATAAAGGTTGAAAAATGAAGAAATAGAGAAAAAGTGTCCAACTTTACAGTCCTTCTTGTTAAGTGCTGTGTCATGGGCCGTGGGTCTAATGGCCAGGCACGAGTCTCCTTTGCTGCTGCTGGAACAAAAGTTACCACTCTTCAATGTCATCTCACTTTCACCAATGCACTTGTAACTATGAGTCCTCGATGGATCTTTCCAGTGCAGATGCTGCCGGATACCGCACCGTCCAAACTCGACTCTGCTGCTGCCATGAGTCTACTTTGAGCCCACGTCACCAATGTGGCTGCTGCTGATGCCACCCGGTCTCATATTGCACCAACACTCACCTCCACTGTCGCCTCCTTGAATCTGCGCTGGACACAGACGCAGTCAGGAACCTAAACTCGCCTCCTTCACAGCAACCATGACTTGGCGCTGGGACTGCCTAGACAATGCAGAAGCTACCAGAAACACAAACTCGCCTCCTATGCCACTGCCATGAGTCCGCGCTGCTGGTCCTAACTGCCACCATCAATGCCGTTGCTGTGACCAAACTCTTCACTAAGAGGTAAGTAAAATAAAAGAAAAAAAAAGGAAAAGAAGGAAAAGAAATGCAAAAAAAAGCGGATGGAGTGGATGAGCCCGGGCTCAGAAGCTCTGCTCCACCGCCATCTTACTCGATGCTTTATTGGCTGCAGGATGTTTTACTTGACATCTTTAACAGGTGTGGGTAGGAGCGAAATGCACGCTTTCTGGCTGGACTCATGCTCACTGCTGAGAAGTGTAACATTCACTCCTAGATTTGCATCCTGCTTAATATTACTTATTGCTGACTTCATTGAAGAACAAAATTATGTACAGTGCAGGACCAGTGTTGAACTAAGTCAAATTGCCCATCATATTTCAAGGGTTCTCAGCACCACAGGAAGCTTACTATTTTCTAAAGCCCTTGTCCATTGCTGGCTGCACTCACCAGTATAATCTGCAATTTAGTTCCATTTATACATTTCTTTTGAAAGATGTCAATTCATAAAGCTTTAATTTTGTTTGATGCCTCTATTTCTTCCTATAAAATATTTCATTAGGCACAGTATTTTCCATTTTTAATTTGTTACCATAATCGGGGTGAAATGTCTTTGCTAATTTTACTGAATATATATTCTACTAGATTATACCTGTATTTGCTTTATTTTAGTAAAAACAGGAATTTGATCCTCTTCAAGAAGCTTGTTTATAATTCAATGGCATATACTCTGCTGATTATTGAAGGAAAATTGATATGCTTCAATGTTTAAACTAATATGTAAATAATAAATTATATTATTAATGGTTTTTGATTGTCCATACTTGGTTAACTTTACAGAGTCTTGAGGCTAATTCTCAATTCAAGTTTTTGATAATGTGCTGGTGGCAAATAATCCTCCCTGCTGTCTGTGAATGTTATCATTTCATGAATTGGTTGCCTGTGAATTTTCATTTGTCTGGAGAAAAAAATCATTAACAGTTCACCTGTAATTTCCTGATGATCATTAGCATTGGTCACGGTTCTCTGCCACTAGTTCATTGATTACAGTTCTGAACAATACTGTTCAGCATTCACCAGCGCATTGAGTAAAATACTGTATAAATGTTTAATAACAATTTTGAGCCTAGAGGAATGAATGAAACTACGTAAAAGCCATCACATTTCTTTTAGCTGTTTCTGGGCAGCATACTTAGGGAAGTTATTTAATGAAGTAAAAAGAGGAAATGCTGGAACCAATCAGCAGGTTAGACAGAATCTCCTAGGAGACTGTTGCCGTTTCAGGTTAATGATCTTTCACCAGAATCATTCGCAAGGGAACACAAGATGAGAATTTTAACTTTGAGGTACTGGGGACCAGGAGCAAGTTTAGGTTAGTGACAGAGGGGTAATCAGTGAGCAGAATTAGAAAATAGACATAAATGTTTGGAATGAATTGACATTTTACAAAGCAAGGATCATGGGAGGTTGGTCAATGGAAAATTCGAGTAGTTGTGTCTGCAGGTGAAAAAGGCATGAATGAAGATTTCAACAGCAGATGGTCCAAAGTAGGGATTAAGGCAGATAATGTTATAAATATGGAAGCACATAGTCTTTGTAATGTAAAGAATATTGGAGCAGAAACTCATTTTGGACCACATTGTATAGTGAAGATGAGAACTGTCATCTACAACTTAAGATTGTGGCTGAGAAGAAAATGGAATCAATGGCAAGAGTACAGAGTTTATGGAATGATTGGTTGAAGACAACAGATTTAGTCTTCCCAGTCTTTAACTGGTTAAACAAAAACAGAAATTGCTGGAAAAGCTTAGCGGGTCTGGCAGCTTTAATGGAGAGAAATCAGAGTTAACATTTTGGGTCTGGTGAATTTGTTCAGTACAAATGGTAAGAGCAGCAGACTGACAACACTGAACCAGTGGACCTGATTAGAACGGAGATTGAGAACTAGGGCAGAATATGTAGCTTAATGCCATGTCTTTAAATGTTGTAACCGAGAATTAGATGGGATCTCTTATAACTTCAACCATTTTTCCAGTGTTTCTGTGTTCATTTGCTGAAGTTCTATCAAACAAGCGAGGAACTATATCGTAATTCACTCCCATTGTATCTATTTGTAAGCATCCTAGACCTTAACCAAAGTCACAAATATGATTATTGTAGTGTATCTGAAGTATTTCTCACATGATCTAATCAAATCTGTTCAAAATATGTCTTGAGAAAGAGTGGGATGACACCTTGAGACATTAAATAACAAATATTACACCAAGCAGGTGACTTATTCATGTTCAGTATTCTGGTGTGTCTGGGGTTGGTGTCTGATGCTTACTGTCATTATTGTGTTGACCAGATAACAGCTATGGTGATGGAGACCACCATGGTTCCTCATCAGACAGTGAAGATGAGGTGCTTGGCAAATACCATGAGGCTTTGTCCAAAACACAGATCGCCTCTGGTGCAGCATCAGACAGCAGACACCATCAGAAAGGGTACTTGTGGGAATCCAGACTCAAATATAGTCCTCTGTCAGCTGAATATGATGGATACAGCAGTGAGGCATCTGCAGATGAAGGTAAGATGATTCAGATGATTTCACAGCTACAGATAAAAATAAAGATGTTGCACATGTTGAGATCACCTGTGTTGACTACGATTTTGAATTCATGTTCAACCAATTTTAGAACACTTATAGCTACATAAAGAAAATACTGATTAGGTTTCTTACTGTGTGACGGAGTAGTCTGATTATCTGTCCATTGTGTATTATTTTATTACAAATCACTTCTCCACTTTAATGAAAACAAAAAGCAAAATTGCTCTGTGTTGTGCTCGAAATAGGTTGATGTTATCAGATACCTTTTCTAAATTTTATACTGCTTTTTTTTTACATTTGATAAGTATCTGCACAATGATATCTACTATACAATATTTTGCTCAAGATAGTTTTCAAAAAAGGCTTATCCTGTGTGCTTATCACTTGTACATGTTCAATATATATTCAGTTTAATATAGGTTTGGTATTTCTTCTTTGAGGAATACTCTGTGGTAAATTAGTAGATTCAAAATTTGTTTAATAAAACTTGCTTTAAGTATTCTGTCTGGACTAGAAATGTTACATTGATTAAATTAGAACAAATTTAAATATCAAGATCCTTCTTCAGGAATGTTAACTTGAAAGTAACTTGGTAGTGAGAATTACACAGGCAGAGGTCAATACAGTTGACAAAGCAAACTTGTGTTAATAGTGTGAGGCCCAGATTATTTTAGCTACATTTTTATTTTAAAAATATACTTTATTCATAAAATATCTTTATGTACAAATATAGTCACTAAAGTAGCATAAGAAGAAACAAACAAACATTGAAGTTTGACTCTATACAACAAACCAAAGGCATCTCTTACTTCTATTTCTGCATTTGCAGCACCGGGGTATCTGATAACTGCACAGACCTTCATTTAACTTCGACAGAAAGACCGAATGGCTTTCCCACTGCGCTTCGGCAGCAGCTGCCCCAAGTATGTCCCTCAGCACGTAATCCTGGACCTTGGAATGTGCCAGTCAGTTCCTTGCTCTGCAAGAGCAAGAAGTTTCGGGCAGACCAAAGAAGCATCTTTTGGTGGTCCTTCAGATACCGTCGATGTTTGTCTAGGTGTGCGTCCCGAGGAATAGACTGTAGACACAGAGTCCTGCATCATGGCGCTGCTCAGGACAAACTTCAACAAAAGCCACTGCATCTTTCTCCAGACTTCCTTTGCAAAGGCACATTTCAAAAGGAAATGTGTGACAATCTCTGCTCACCTCCCTGCCCCCACCCCTGCAGCTGTTTTGACGGCAGCGCATGGTGGCACATACAGTCCAGGCATACAAGAAAGATCTCGCTGGTAGATCTCACCACCAGCCAAGTGATGTCTTGGTATGTGGTACTTGACTTCTGATTGATTGTTGGAAAGTACTGGTGATGAGGTATTCTGCCAAATGACTTTAACAATCTGCTCAGGGAACAACCTGACAGGATCCATTCTCTCCTTTTCCTGCAGGGTCTCGAGGGCACTACTTGCTGAGCATTTCCTGAAGGACTTGTGGTCAAAGGTTTTTTGCATTGCAAATGTCTCTACAAAGGACAGGTGATACAGAATGGTCCAACTACTTGGGTTGGTCCACAGTAATGAGGCCAGTCCCATTCTTTGCAACACCGGGGACAGATAGAACCTCAGTACATAGTGACACGTGATGTTTGTGTACCGCGGTCTACATACAGCTTGATGCAGCCATACACAAAGGTAGCCATCAGGATAATGGTGGCGTTGGGTACATTCTTCTTCCCCCCTCCCCATCCAGAGTTTTGTACGTGGTGTCCCTGCACACACAGTCCATCTTAGACTTCAGATGAAGTGGAAAATGGCTCAGAGGACTGTAATGGTGCACATTCGATGAATGGGCCAGACTTGCACCAGGTACAACAAAAGAGAGGATGCCTCAAACCTGATGACCAGGTTCTTACCTGCAATGGATGGGGAGCGATGTTCCCAAAAACCCAGTTTCTGTTTCACCTTGGGTGATGTGCTCCTCCCAAGTGTTTGTGCACACTCCAGCCTCTCCAAACCGCATTCCCAGCACCTTCAGGTAATCTGTCCTGATGGTGAAGGGGATAAAGGATCGGTCAGCCCAGTTCCCAAAGAACATTGCCTCACTCTTGCCTCGGTTCGCCTTGGCTCCTGAGGCCAGTTCAGACTGTTCGCAGATGCGCATGAGTTTGCATGCTGACTGCGAATCCAAGCAGAAGACAGTGACGTTATCCATGTACAAGGAGGCTTTGACATGCAGGCCTTCACTGCCTGGAATAGTCACCCCTCTCAAGCTCACATCCTTCCTGATTGACTCAACAAAACACTCTATACAACATGCAAACAAGGCAGCACTGTCTGACTCCAGATCCGATCAGGAAGCTTTCTGATTCGCGCTTGTTGATTGATACTGAAACTAATAATGTTGGTGTATAGCGGTCTGATCCAATTGTGAATTCCGTCCCCAGAGCCCATTTTTTTTTTTAGCACATCCCACATTTCAAAGGCCTTCTCCTGGTCCAGGCTGATGAGGCAGGCATCCACCGCCTGTACTGCACATAGGCAATCGTATCCATGAGGAGCACAAGGCTTTCGGAGATTGGTAACAAAAACAAAGTTGCTGGAAAAGCTCAACAGGTCTGGCAGCATCTGTGGAGGAGAAAACAGAGTTAATGTTTCGGGTCCAGTGACCCTTCCTCAGAACTGATGGTGGCTGGGAAAACGTCAGTTTATATGCAGAAAATAGGGAGGTGGGTGGGATAGGGAGTAAATGATAGCATAGAGCCCAAAGAGAGAGAAAGACAGTTGGACAGACAAAGGAGTTGCTAACGATTGGGCTGGGAGGGTGAATAGTTGTTAATGGGGACTGTTAGTGACTAACAACAGGGGGTGTGTAGTGGCAGGATATGTGGTAACAAGGCCTGGTGTGTAGGGTGTGGGGCTGGGACATGGGAGAGTTTAGGCCCTAAACTTATTGAACTCAGCATTGAGTCCGGAGGGCTGTAGGGTCCCCAAGCGGAAAATGAGGTGTTGTTCCTCCAGCTTGCGTTGGGCTTCACTGGAACACTGTAGCAAGCTGGAGACAGAGATGTTGGCCAGAGAGCAGGGTGGTGCATTGAAGTGGCAGGCAACAGGTAGTTCAGGGTCTTTTTTGCGAGCAGAACTAGATGTTCTGCGAAGCGGTTGCCAAAAGCGGTTTTGTTTCCCCAGTGTAGAGGAGACCACATTGTGAGCAGCGAATGCAGTAGACTAGATTCTTGGAAGTGCAGGTGAAGTGTTTCGGAGATTGGTATAGCATAGGTTTGGTCCGGGTGAATCACTAATCCCAGAGCAGACCTGATCCAGTTGGCAATGACCTTAAACAGGACTTTGTATTCTGCATTCAGCAGTGAAATTGGTCGCCAAGTTCTAATTTCCTCCCTCTCCTCCTTCATTTAAATGATGCTGATGATATCTTTCCTCGTGGATTCGCACATTCTGCCTGCCAGAAGTATATTGTTGTAACCTCCAGCAGGTCCTGGCAAATCAAGTCCCTCAGAGTAGAATACAACTTGGCCGATAAGTTGTCGCTTCCAGGTGTTTTATTCTTTCGAAGGACTCCAGGAGCCTTGGTTAGCTCATCCAGAGAAAGCGGCTGTTCCAGCCTCTACCGCATGCTATTACCTAAGACCTCCATGATGGAGGACAGGAACAACTGGGAGGCTGCATTGTCTGTAGGCTTTGTGTCATACAGTCTGACATAAAAGAATTTGCCGATCCTCAGGATGTCAGACTGGGATAACATTATCAAGCTGCCATCTTCCTTAAGGCTGCTGAGCACAGAGCTCTCCCTGTGCACCTTCTGGAAGAAGAAGAAACATGAGCACGTTTCATCCTGAACCCTGGACCCTCAACCAGAAGATTATCTTGGAGGCCTTCGAGACAAAGAATAAGGCTAGCTGGCTTTTCATCTTCAGGAGATTCTCTGTGGCACAAACCCCCATCATCTGCTGCAGGAGTAGGCTCTGCATGCTTTTCTGGGGATTGGACAGTTTTCCCCATCCGTCTGTCACCTTTTGAACACCTTTGAGGACAAAGAATCTCTTGATATTCCCCTTGACTGTTTCCTACTAGTCCGATGGAGACTCAAAGAGGGGCTTCAAGGTTCTTCAAACTCTGTAATCCCTTTTGAGGTCCTCAATGTTTTCTTGGGCCAATGTTCAGCTTCCACGTTCTCTTGCTGGCACGCTGGCTGTCCTGTCGGTGACAGTCAGCCAGCAGGAGGCAGTGGTCGGAGAAGAGCACTGGCTTGGTTGTCGGTGGATCTGATTGAGAATGTGTGGGACACAAACAGGAAATTTATCATTGAGCGAATAGACCGGTCTGGCAACTAGGTGTATCTATGTTGCACTCTGTCTGCAGTGGTCCTGAAGACATTGTGCAGCTTGGCGAATTTAACTGTTTTCTATCAGGAATCTGGACATGGTGTCCGATTTGCTGTCAGCCCCTCCAGATTGTCCAGAATGACTGGCCTGGACGTGGCCAGCTGCAGTGGGAGGTCCTGCAGGATGGCCAGCCACTCACCCTTTACCATCAGAGTGTTATTTTAGCTACTGGTCCTGCTTATGTTTAGGCTTAGTTGTTAGGCTGTGATGTGGAAGTTAACTAGCAATCTGGAATGCAATCTCAGTTTAATTGTGTTTGGTTCTATGAATCAAAGGAAAAATTCTGCATTCTCAGAAGATTTGTGTGAATGGGGTTTGGGCAGGACCTTGCAAACAGGGCAGTAAACATTTAAACTTCATTGTGGAGTTCTTATTCTTTCTTGTCACACAACGACAACAAAAAAATGTTGATTAAACTTATATCCTTGTCCTTTTCTGACCCTGGTGTAAAACTTTGAGTTTAGGAGCCAAAGATTGCAAAATCAAATGTTGCTGGATAATTCTAAATGTGCAAAAAATCATGCTGACAATTCATTTAGGATTGTCAGTCAGGCTTACAATGTGGCACGCTTGAGTACTGGAA